TTAAGCTATACCTCAAAGAAGATGGGTCATTTCAACATAAACATTAAATATGGGTATATCGACATCTCTGTCACACGTGTCGTTTGGCATTAGCAGACCTTCTGAAACATTTTGATGAAAGTATAATCCACAAAGTTCACATTTTCATTTACTTCTTAACATCTGCTTTAATCCAACTAGCTCCATAGGTACGAGCAAAATTTAGTGTTGATGTAAATATCCATTTAGTTCATGTTTCCCCTGTGAAAATATAGTCTATTCCAAAGCTAATTTCGACGTACTTTAGCTTTTCAGAAACCGTTGGCCTTCCACAGTAAGATTATAAACTGTTTCACAAACATATTTGATAGCAAACAGCTAAAATATTCTCCGAAAGTCTATATTTGTGCTCTTCGAAGCGAAAATGGCAACTCAAGAAGAAATGAGCCGCTATTTTTGGTCAGCGTCGACAAATTGCCCACCTGTTTCCCTATAGTAATATATGCTATGATCTGACCGCGCGTAAACAATGCAGTCGGGGACTAAGTAGTAGTATGATTTTATTGAACAGAAATTAATTAATAACACTGATTGTTGAGCTACCTATGTTGTCAGGAGCAACTTGTCAAAGTCAAAGCCAAAACGCCAGGCATAAAAGTTTTTATTCCAAAGCTTCTCTGCTACCATATTCATGAAAAAAGCATTTACATTTTTACTGAAACTATACGTCTTTTTGTGTGTTTCTTGCCAGTTTTCTCGAGTTTTCGTATTCGTGTTTTATATCTTCTAACTTTTCAATTTTTGTCAGCCTCGCTTTGAAAATACACAACTGCACTAATCTCAAATTAGTTCGCAAGCAACACAGACAACACGGGAATTTTAATCAATTTAATTTTTACATCTGATAAAAAATAAACACGTTATTTACCGGCAGCGTCGGTCCAGATGAGAGAAACTGTGCCCTCGGTCTTGAAAACGTCCCTCGCCCTTTCAAGACCTCGGGCACAGTTTTTCTCATCCGGACCTCGCAGCCGGTAAATAACATATATGTCTTACCATAGTGAGTTAGTTTTTTTAATTAATTTCGATGTTTATGTACGAGTTTTTTCGTCATTAAGTTTATGTATACAGTTTTAAATTTGTATTTTCTTGCCAACCTTGGGGATATATACACGCGTAAAAATCATCATGTTGATGCAAGTTGTTCAAAACAGGAGCGAACAATGTTGTGCTGCACCCCGTGAACAATATTGTTAACAAGTTGTTCAACCATCAACATTGTTGCAACTTGTTGACAATCATGTTAACAACTTGCAACAGTACTGATGGTTGAACAACTTGTTAACAATATTGTTCACGGGGTACAGCACAACATTGTTCACTCCTGTTTGAACAACGCCGAACAACCTGATCAAATTTTACCCGTGTATATACATAATGACGCAACGCTATTGTGATGTTACACGTACTTCATGTAATACAAATTATGGAGGTTTTATTGTAGATTGAAGCATTGCATTTGTCAAAGCATTGCATTTTAAAGCAAATTGTTTGGATTTTTTTTAAAGATAAAAGACCTTTTCGGGAGAACTATGGTTCCAAATATATTCGAATTGATTTAAAATATTAATACCTGTCATATCACTGTAACCTGTGGTAGGTAGCGGCAGTAAGAATTCATTTTAACGCTACTAGCCTACTAGTAATATAGCGTTTTGTTTGGGAAAGGTTTAGTAACAGCTTTCCTACTCTAAAAAAGCTAGCGTTTTAACTCATTTTAGTGCTAGATGTACCAGAGAACCTTAAAGTACATAGGCTTATAGGCATAATTTTGTCTGGAACACCAACATGGCCACCATGGCTTTAATTTGTGACCTTTTGTTGAGTTGGTCCCTGGGGAATGAGCGCAAATTCACAATGATTCACATTTTTGGCGTGGCCAGGTGTTAATCAGTGACTTGTTGTTTTGATTGAGAAAATTGGTTGGCTTTAGTTTGATAATAATAACGGCTTATTGACCGAGCGTGAGGTCTGTGCTGTGAAATATCAGACCAGAGGTCAATAACGAGGTTTGATATTTCACAGTACAGAACGAACAAGCGAGGTCAATAATCGGTTTATTAATATGGCTGAACTGAGTCTGTGAGCATATGCTTTTCGCGCGAATTAAATCGGCTATCGTCAGTTTCACTGGGTAACAATATACGGTAGGCATGCATGCTCAATCAAAAACAATTTGGTTGTTTGAAATTTTTATCTGTAAATTTTAATGACACATAATTGGAAAATTAAAAAGCAAAATTTTTTTCTGTTTGCAAAGCAAAAATTTCCCGCCAGATAAACGACATCCGGGACACCGGTCCAGATACGGAAAATACGGACCACGGTCAGCCAATCAGAACACAGGAGGCCCAGGCTCGATTTGCCCGCGCCCGCCTGTGCCTTCCTTATAACGAGGGAAGGACGGAGACATTGAGACCAAAATAGCCCAGACTTGGCATATGTCACACGAAACTATCCTCGATTTTTCGCTTTTAATGCATTTCCTTCACGATTAATCGATATCCCCTGCAAGAATGATACCGTATAACTCTCAAAACAACGATGCTTTAATCAAAGAGCTTAAATTCGCTCTGAAATCCGTGAGGGAATAACAAAATTCGGCCAAAATATATCCGCGTGCCGGGTTTGCTGTGCAAAAAGTGGAAGTCGTTGAACAAATCTCACAAACCTAAACACTGGGATGAGTTCAAGAAAGAACGGAACTTAGTCTCTCGTCTCGTCAAACAATCTCACAGTAGTTATCTGAATGACGTTATTGGCGCAAGCTTAGATACCAATCCAAAGAAATTCTGGTCGTATGTACGTACAAGTAAATCTGAGAGCTCTGGCATACCTCCTTTAAAATTCAACGACAAATTATGTGTTTCTGATAAATCAAAAGCTGACGCCCTTAACTCCCAGTTCCATTCAGTATTCACCCGTGAGAATGCTCCAATTCCAAATAAAGGTCAATCTCCATACACCTCCATCTCAGATTTGATCATCAACTCCCAAGGTGTAGCCAAGCAACTCTCTGAACTTAACCCCAGTAAGGCCTGTGGTCCTGATGA